AAAAAAAGAAAAAAAAAGTCACTCTAAATAATCAGCACTCTTGCCTAATTCTCCCCCAAACAAAATTCTCAATTTCTCGCCGGAAAAATTTCTTCGGCAGCTCAACTATGGCGGCGTCGGATTATCCTTGCTGTGGAGCCACGTTTTGGCTCTTCGTCGTGATTAGCATAACTCTTGTATCGTTCGCTGGTTTAATGGCTGGTTTAACACTTGGTCTCATGTCTCTTGGATTAGTCGACCTCGAAGTTCTCATCAAATCTGGCCGTCCTCAAGATCGTATCAACGCCGGTGAGAGTTTGTGACTCCAATTTTTGGTAAAATCTCGTTTTGTATTGTATGTGAATTAGCTGATGACATCGATTGAATTGGTTCTTCTTAGGTAAGATATATCCAGTTGTGAAGAATCAGCATCTTTTGCTCTGTACTCTTTTGATTGGAAACTCTATGGCTATGGAGGTAATATAGTGAAAGATACGATGCAGAGACTTGATAGTTATGATGATGATGATGATGATGATGATGATGATGATGATGATGATGATGATCTCTCTTTGTTATGTTTTGATTGTAGGCTTTGCCGATATTTTTGGATAAGATTGTGCCTCCATGGGCTGCTATTCTTCTATCAGTGACTCTTATACTGGTGTTTGCAGAGGTTTCACCACATCTGTTACTTGTGATTCGTTTTCGATATACTTAGTTTTGGGATTTGTATAGTTTGTGATCATGTTGAGTATCTGTAGATCATGCCACAAGCAGTTTGTACTAGATATGGGCTCAAGGTTGGAGCGATAATGGCTCCGTTTGTTCGTGTTCTTCTTATATTGTTCTTCCCTATTTCATATCCAATCAGCAAGGTAGAGAGAGGTGTGTAATTCCTTTTATGGCTTTATTTAGAATTGCTCGGCTAAAATTGTTGTTGCTTCAGGTTCTTGATTGGATGTTGGGTAAGGGACATGGTGTTCTTTTACGGAGAGCAGAGTTGAAGACATTTGTGACTTTCCATGGAAATGAGGTATGCAGCTATCACTACTAACTTACAATTCGGTCTTCCAAACGAAGTAGTTCCAGAAATGTGGCTTAACCGTGGTGTCTCTTACATAGAATCTTGCTTACTGACTTTTGTACATGATTCTTGTTTTGTTAGGCTGGGAAAGGAGGAGATCTAACAAACGATGAGACTTCTATCATTACAGGTGCACTTGAATTAACTGAAAAGACGGCAAAAGATGCAATGACTCCCATATCAAATGCGTTTTCCCTTGATCTTGATTCGACTCTTAATTTGTGGGTTTTTTTTTCTTATGTATCAAATTTATCTTTCTATATACGCTTATTCCTCCTGCTTATATATTTTGGACTTACAATTGGGTATCATCTACAATACAGGGAAACTTTGAATACAATAATGTCAGTTGGTCATAGCAGAGTTCCAGTTTACTTCAAAAACCCAACACATATAATTGGGCTCATTCTGGTACATATCTTTCTTATTGCTCACTCCATTATTTTTTCATAGTTGATGTTTCTGTCTGTTGGGCACTCTGAGGTAAACAGTAGTCAAGCTTAAATTTAACTATTGAAAAAAATATGTAGTCTATATTACGAGAGATGAGTTTCTAGAAAGACCACTTTGTAACTATTAAATCTTGCATTCACATCTTAACTGGTTTCTCTTTTACAATGATAAGGAGTAGTTAAATATGAAGAGTATGACTTTCCCCTTCACAACATGTAATGTGTCCTTATGCTGCTGATACAGGTTAAAAATCTCTTGGCAGTTGATGCTAGAAAAGAAGTTCCTCTAAGAAAAATGTCCATGAGAAAAATCCCGCGGTAAATGACAGCTCTCTAATGTTTGGTTTTTCTTACATAGTTTTTGACCAGGATTGTATAGCATTTACACAGAGTTCTATTTGCAATTTTTTTTTGTCTCCAGTGTCTCTGAGACGATGCCACTATATGATATCCTAAACGAGTTTCAGAAGGGCCACAGTCACATAGCAGTTGTCTACAAGGATCTTGACGAGCAAGAGCAATTTCCCGAAACAAGCGAAAATGGTATTGAGCGCAGAAAAAAGAAGAAAACTAAAGATGAACTTTTTAAGGACAGTTGTAGGAAACCAAAAGCTCAGTCTGAGGTATCAGAGAAGGAAGGTATGACTAAGCGACTTTCCATAGACAAACATGAAAAGACATGTTAGCTTAATGTTTTGTTTGGTATACAGTATTCAAAATTGAAACTGGAGATGCAAAATCCGGCAAGAGCGAGAACGGTGAAGAGCAGCAGGGGAAAACGAGTTTATTGGCTGCTCCAGCTAAGAAGCGACATAGAGGCTGTTCGTTCTGCATTTTGGATATTGAGAATACCCCCATACCGGATTTCCCTACCAATGAAGAAGTTGTAGGAGTTATCACCATGGAGGACGTTATCGAAGAGCTTCTTCAGGTAACTGAACCGAATCATAAGCATCTGCGTTAGATATTACCCTTTAGCTAAATGCGTTTTCTCTGATTTCAGGAAGAGATCCTTGACGAAACTGATGAGTATGTGAACATCCACAATAGGATCAGAGTAAACATGCATGCTTCTCAGGAGAATCTACCAAGCGTTACCTCAATCACGCAATCATCATCGGGTTCCACTAGTCCCAACCGAACATCCCATTTGGCCACACCAGATTCAAGTCCAACAACAAAGCTTTCAGATTCAAGTCCTACAACTAAGCCTTCAGATTCGGGTACTACAACAAAGCCTTCAGGTTCAAGTCCTACAACAAAGCCTTCAGATTCAAGTCTTTCTTAAGTTGATCTGAGTGAAGATAATAATATATAGTTACATGATTATAAAAGAAAGAAAAAAGTTAAAGCTGAAGCAGCTTGACTTATTTAATTTACAATTTTCTTTGGTAAAGTTTTGTTCTTCGTGATAAGTTCTTGTGATCTACCTTTGTACAAAATTACGCTTGGGCTCTATCAGCTTTGCTCCGTATAGAGTATACTACTCGTGAGCCATAAGACACTTTTCATTGTAATGGGAAATTAGTTTGCTGTAAATTTTATAAAACATGTTTAAATGAATGAAAAAAAATGATACGTGACTATGGTTGATGTTAGCGATGAAGTTGGGTGTTTTGGGTTTTGATATTGTAGTTTAATTATTTACTTTAATTAATACATTAGGGTTAGGTGTTTTGGTTTTAACGTTTAGGTTTATTATAAGTTGTATCATGGCCTATATAAATATAGGTCTTTATATGAATGAGAAACCAAGCCCCAAGAATTAACCTTAATCTCTAAGAGAGACTAGGGTTAAGAGGGAGCTAAGCTTTTAGAATCTCTCTTATTCCTTAAGCAAAAATTGGTTCATAACAACTTGGTATCAGAGCCAAACGGTTCGATGGGAGAGTTCGATAGGATATTCGATAAGCGGATAACACGATTCAATGAGTTATTCGAGGAGTGAAGAATGAATTGATGGCAGAAGTGAATAAGTACTTTGACCTGATGCGCCCTAAAACTGCAGAGCCACAAGAGAAGACATCACCACCACAAGCCTTGATGGAGATGATGACATCGAAACCAGATCCGGTGTTGGTTGTGGTTTCGGTTCCAAAGATCGAGGAACCAAACCACGTGAGGAGAGAGGTGGCGGAGATGGTGACTTTGACATCACCTGTTGTCGTGGCATTAGAAGCTGAAACATCTATGACTAAGCCAGAGGATGTGGTGATGCTAGAAGCTGCAGCATCCCATCTTGAGCCAAAGCAAATACAACCTCAAAAATCTGAAGTAGTTGTAGCACCAGTTTTGGCGGTGAAGGAGTATGCTGAGAATATCTTTGACGTCAATTATCTGATGCAAGCAATCGTCCAAGAGATGATGACAGTTCAACATGAAGGACGACATAGAGAAGATGTGAGAGTTGTGAACCAGCTGCAAAAGTTGGGTTCTGGTAACCGCGTTTGGAGCTTGAGGACAAGCTCCGAGTGGAGAAGGGGAGTAATGATACGTGACTATGGTTGATGTTAGCGATGAAGTTGGGTGTTTTGGGTTTTGATATTGTAGTTTAATTATTTACTTTAATTAATACATTAGGGTTAGGTGTTTTGGTTTTAACGTTTAGGTTTATTATAAGTTGTATCATGGCCTATATAAATATAGGTCTTTATATGAATGAGAAACCAAGCCCCAAAAATTAACCTTAATCTCTAAGAGAGACTAGGGTTAAGAGGGAGCTAAGCTTTTAGAATCTCTCTTATTCCTTAAGCAAAAGTTGGTTCATAACAAAAAACTTGTGTTCCCACTCAGTATTTGGATTTTACATATGTCATATCCTAATGACTTGGTTACGTATTCGGCCAAACTGAGAGCTACTTGACCTGATATACCACAGTCAGGTATGAGTCTTTATTGACTACCCTACCTTTTTTCTGTTACCATAAAGACGATAGGTGAAGCCAATGATGACGATGGAGATGGCGGTGAGTTCGAGCTCACATAGATGGCCGGCTAACGCCTAAGCGATGATGAAGATCGAGACTCTGGTCAATATGGATTCGCTTCGATATTAACTCTTAAAAGACCGAATAATTGTGTGTTAGTAAGGACATCATTAATGGAGGTATCTTAGGAGTAAGATTTACACTAGAAAGATAAGATACCTCCATTAATGTCATATACATATTAGAGTTATACGAACGAATCTTGATCATTTGCTTTAATGAGTTATTTAGTATTAGCATTAGAGAACAGGCATGCTTCATCTCAGGAGAATCACTAAGCATAACAACCTCGATTACACAATCATCGTAATAATCCCAACTGAAAATCTCATATGGCTACACAATTCTAGTCGTATAACAAAAGCATCAAATTCAAGCCCCACGAGAAAATCGAGTCCTACAAGAAAAAAACCTTCAGATTCATCCAAAACAAGAAGCGTCCACCCAAATTTTATGTTATCTGAGTGAAGATAGATAGTTCAAAAGATGACTTAATTAAACAGCTTCATAGCGTTTTGACTTGAGTAGCTTTGAATCGTTGACATTAAGATCTTTGACATGGTCTGCAAAGGCGTAGAGCCTACTACGATCATTCACAAAGACGTCGTCGTGGACTCTACTAGGATTGTCGATTGCTTCATGGTACTCTCCAAAGACTACTACAATCATTCACAAAGACGTCATCTGCAAAGGCGTGGACTGTACTAAGATTGTTGTCCATTGCTTCATGGTATTTTCCAAAACCTTGGATTTCAACACGTTGAAGAGTGTTCTTTTCTGGATTGAAGTAGAAAACATAAAAGGGTTTTTTAGATGTATAAAAATCCGAACACAAAACGATTTCACCGGTAGCAGTCACTGCAACGACGAAAACATGATGAACCAAGAACTTATCATCACTCAAAGTGTAGGCATATTTTGACCATTGTTGTTTTTCAGCATCCTCTAGAACCCACACACGCAACTCTACGGCGTCATGAGCATAGGCATTATAATAAACCAAACCTAACTTTCCCATATAGTTTATCAATTGACAATAGCTTTCCGTGTCAATATACTTGAATTTCTCAGACCTAACATCAAAACATACTATCACATAATAAACCGACTCCTGAGACGTGTTACCTAAGTAATACAAAACCCCATTGATGCATATCCCCTCACTCATAGTCTCATGTCTTAAGGCACAATTTATCCTTCTCCAACTCATTTCTCCGGTTCCTAATGTCAGAACTGTATGCTGATCATAACAAAACGGGTATGGCATGAACAATACCTTGTATATCTTATCAGTAGGATCAAATCCTATAAAGCTATAGGTCCTTCTGTAGCTAGAAAGTCTAGGTAAGGCAAGATACTTAGACGGATAAGTTAAGGCAACATACCTTCCCGTTTTAGGGTTAAGTACCATAGGCACTTTGGTCCACATACCATAGAAATATAACAAACCAGCGGCATAGCCACATGAATAATGTAGGTCACCTGAAAATTTTTGCATATTTTCTTGAGGGAACTTCATATGAAATTCAGCAGTTACCGATGAAGACTTCTCATAAGGACTCTGATGCTGCTGAGGCAAAGAGAAGATGCTCAACAGACCAGGTTTACCGATGGCGAAGAAGAGACGCGGCTGAGGTAAAGATCTGGTCATGAACAAGTCAGTGAAATATGAACTAGGAAGCATTGTTTCCCATAGCTTCGACACGCAATGAAACCTAGCTATTGACTTTGCAGGCAATCTCAATAATATATCGAGGATGAGATCAGTAGGGATGGAATCTGAAACCATGGTTGCTTTGTTTTGTTCTGCTGCGTGATGATGATTGAACACAGAGAAAGAGAGATGTGTTAATACTTATATATTAAGAAATAGCGAAACCCTAGCTAGGGTTTACCACTCCTAATTTATATATGGGAGACTTTGCAAATTAGTACATTTTCTAAACTTAATAGGGGATATAGTCACTTTACTATTTACAATTAGTAAAACCCACATATTTTACTGTGTATTTTTTTTTTTTTTTTTGTCATCACAAAAATTAAGTTTACAAGCTTATCGGAAGGAACTCTCCTCTAGGGAGAGCCATGACGGAGCCGATGTGCTTGTAAGAGAGAACTGTACTCCCCGACTTCTTGCTTTCTTCGCTAGGTAATCTGCTCGCCTATTATCCTTACGCGGGATCCGGCGGATTCGGAAGACCGGGAATGATGCCTTGAGATCCCTAAAAGAAGCATATTCTGCTGCAAACGTGGGCCAATCAGGCGGCGACTCCAAAATGGCAAGAAGATCCGAGCAGTCCGTGGCAAAGCAAGCAGAGTTCATGCCAATCTCGACCATACACTCCATAGCCCAAAGAAGGGCGTCAAATTCAGCATGGAGGGGTGAAATACTCCTTCTAACACACTTGAGACCAAGCCAGGAATGGCCCCCCGGAGGTCGAACACTCCCATCCACAAGAACCCACCCTAAACCACTAAAAGAGTCAGAGTCAAACCAAGAGGCATCACACTGACACTCCAGAGGTATATTAGAGGGGGGACTCGGAGTAGTCGTGGGTGGGGCTGGGGGTGGGCGGACTGCCAGATCCTCAGCCTCCATCGCACGACGCCATACTGCCGCTTCTTGAGTGGCTAGCAGAAGAGTTTCCATAGGTGATTCACGGATATTTTCGAACATAAATCGATTCCGGGCCTTCCAGATATACCACAAAATCCAGGGGAAGTCCTGCGTAGCAGAAGCATCTAATTTTAACTCTCTTCCGCTCCAAAGGAGAAAGTCAAAATTAAAAAATAGAGATTGGCGTGGGAACATCATCCCTGAGGAGGGAATAGAGGAGAGAGCCCAGATTTGTCTAGCCGGTGGGCAATCAAAGAGGAGGTGGTTAATCGTCTCCTCACTTTGGCCACATCGAGGACAGTCTTTCTCCCGACCAATATGGCGTGAAAAGAGTCGTTGACAGGTTGCTACGCAGCCCGAAAGGCATTGCCACATGAAGTGCTTCAGCTTCCGTGTGGTTTTATATTTCCAAACTTGTGCCTGGAGTGCCGAAACATCCGGTCCCTGAAAAGGGGGGTCACAAGAAGGGCGAGAAAGCATCCTCGCGGCCCAGTATCCTGATTTCACAGTATAGTTTCCAGATTTCGTGTGAACCCAGCTATACCCGTCGCTCAGATACGTCCGACTGGGTCGTATTCCAAGGATCAAAGGTATATCTGCTGGGTCCACTAGAGTTTGCAAATTATTCAACTTCCATTCCTGGGTATCCCTATCCAGGAGATCATTAACGTACAAATGTGGATCACGAAAAGCACCGATGCTTTTCGCAGGTCTAGGTGGAATTGTGGGAATCCAAGGATCAAACCAAACTCGGGTAAGCATTCCGGAGCCCACGGTCCGTCGAAGACCGGAGACTATCAGCGATTTTGCAGAGAAGATACTCCTCCATCCATAAGAGGGACGGTTAGCTTTAAGAACCTGAAGAGGATCGCTATACCTAAAATATCTACCCCTCAAAACTCGGCATATAAGTGAGTTTGGGAAGCGAAGAAGTCGCCAAAATTGTTTGGCAAGAAGCGCCTGGTTAAATTCTTCCAAGGTCCGAAATCCGAGACCACCGTCCGAAAAATGGGAACATAGTTTATCCCAGGCGATCCAGTGTATGCCATTACTCTCAGCTCTTGTTCGCCACCAGAAATTAGCAATCGCACTACTTAGTTTGGAGAGAATAGCTTTGGGGAGTAAGAAACACGACATAACATATGTCGGAAGGGCTTGCGCTACCGCCTTTATAAGAACTTCTTTACCCCCTTTGGAAAGGAATTTAACTGACCACGAACTTATCCGTTTCTGAAGTCGATCACGAACAAAGGCAAAAACTTCTACCTTTGATCCATGAATCTTTTCAGGTAACCCCAAGTAAGTGCCCATACCTCCTTCTGTATGAATATTTAAGATATTTTTAATGTTGGTACGAGTAGCAGATGGCACCTCATGCCCAAACATCACCGAAGATTTAGCTTCGTTGAGTTGTTGACCCGAGGCCTCTCCATAGCGACGGATAATATGGATAATTTCCTCACCCTGTTCAGGAGTCGCACGACAATTTTACTGTGTATGTAATAGAAGCTTCTCTCTAATAAAATTTTTGCAATTACTAAACTGTCCTATACTCATATCTTCCTCTTTCTCTCGTGAACAAAAGACAAATGCCCTCCAAATTCTATTTCTCTCTCCATCTCATATATATATATTATATTTTTTTATTTCTTACATTCTCCCACTAATTTAATAACTAAAATATTAATTATATAAATTTGTTTTTTTAAACTTTAGAAACAAAAAAATCATCTTTTTTTTCTCTACAATTTGATATGCATATTGTTTAATATTTTCAAATATATTTCATTCAAATTATGATTCGTACATTTGTCTATCTGTACAGAAAGACGTATATGTACAGAAATAATCATGTACAATATTTTATATTCGGACAATTGTATTTGTACATACATTATTTTGTACGATTGTATATCTTTGTACATATATTTTAACTGTACAGTGTTTATATTTGTACAATTATATATATGTACAAATATATATATACAACTATATATGTACATATATTTTTCTGTACATATATATACATATATATATATGTATATATATATTATTCATAGAAATTATATAATATAAAGTAAATATGAGTGTAAAAATAAAAATTGTGTATATATATAAATTTACTGTATTAGAAAATCAGAAATATTTTATTTATTAGATTATAAAAAGAGAGAAAAAGAAAATACACAAAAATATATATAAAAGTAAGTTTAATGGCATTTAGTGTAAATATGAGAGAGATGAGAGGGTTATAAAGTCTTCAAAATAGTGGAAAATAGGGAAAGGTGACTAATTTGCCAATTATAAATAGTAATTGTACTATATTACTAATTAAGTTTGAAAAATGTACTAAAATCCCAATTATTCCTTTATATATCGTGACAAATAAAGAATATATAAGAAAGAAATTATGGAAAGCGTGAAAATTTAATTAGAAAAATACATGATAGAGAATACATTGTTAGCGGAAATGGTAGAGAAAGCTACGTATATGACATTGTTAACGGAAGAAAAAAAATAAAAAAATCTTGATTGTGTATTTTTGGCATTTTTGGTAATAGATAAGAGACAAAAGTCTACTATAATTTATTGAAACAAAAGAAAATTACATATGAACAATCCCGAAAAAGAAACAACACTGACATCAACTCCGGTTAATAAAAAACCGGAGTATCTTTAGCAATAAAAATAGTTTGTACTAGAGGATAGCCCGTGCTTCCGCACGGATGAAATTTTTTAAACTAAAAAAAAATAATTGGGTTTGACTGTAGTATAGGATAAACAGAATAGTCTTGTATATTTTATATTTAATTCTATAGAGTGAAATCGCGTGCTAATTTGTGTATTTTAACTGTGTAGAAAGTAAATAGCGTGTACAGTAGTAATTAGGTCTGATTTTTAATATAAGTACGCATATATTGTATTTTCCCTAAAACTGTTAAATTTATCGATCACGAACATTACCTCAACATTGTATAAGGAAATGCAATCTTTTAATATAGTTTACTGAAATTGTATATTGGTTGAAAGATAACATAAGTGATATATAAAAATTTCATAAATTTGGATAATCTATTATGAATTCCTTGTGAATTGAATTTAATTATTGGCAAAAATATATGATAAAGTAATCTGCTAAAATGTAAACTTGAAAGCAAAATAAGATAAAATTAGGGGGAATTTCCAAAATACCCCTTTTCCAATACCACTTTTTCAAAATACCCCTCTTTCTAATTTTATCAAAAAGTCACTATAAAATTTGAAATTTATGAAAAACATATGTGTAAGCTTATATTTCTAAACACAAATTATCTTTATATGTGTGTAAATTTATATATATATATCATAAATACCGTATAAATACCTTTTAAAAACCTTTAAAAATCAATTAAAAACCTTATAAAAACTATGTAAACCTTTTAAAAACCTTATAGATGCCGTTTAGAACCTTTTAAAACTTTATAAATATTTGGATTTAGTCTCCCAGTAGTAATGATGATCTTGATGTACCTTATCAACCATATAAAAGAGGTATTTTTAAAAATGGATAGAAAAGAGGGGTATTTTTAAAAAGGGGTACACCAAAACGGGTCTTTCTCAAAAATAATTGTAAAGAATTATAATATAAAATTTAGTCTTTAATCTAGTTTAAAATAAGGTAAATTAAATGTTTTAAGTTTAATAATGTAGGAAATATTTAATTTAGGAATATTAGTGAAAAGGATAATATACTCAGATTTTTCACCTAAAATATTTCCTTAATTGAAAATTATAATAACTATAAAATCTTTTAGATATTCGAAAATAAGATTTAATTCCAAGACCCGATTAAAAGACCTGTTTTAAGAGATGACCCGAATATCTTTCAAAGTAATGCTATTTTAAAATTTAGTTTCAAATAATTAAATGTTTACCAAAATTAAATTTATTATCCTTTTGATCTAAAATCCGTTAGTAAAAGAGGTATAAAATATTAGTTGAAATTTGTTTCCTTCCTTTTTCGTTTCTAAAAATGATTTTTTCCTAAAAGTTTTTAAACAAAAAATGTTATGAATCAAATTTTTTATTTCATAAAATGTATTTTATTTTTATTCATGGTTAAAAACTATATTAGTTAAATAAGATCTTTTAACATATCTTGCATATCTTTTGCTAATATTTATGTATATATTTTCAAATATATTTTATCTTTTATAATGAAAATAATTTTAAGAGTTAAAAAAAACCATAAACTAATTTTGTTTTGATTTTAAATTTTATTCCTTAGGAGCCTTACAGGCACCTTTTGGTTATAAATTTCATATATATTAATTGAGAACTTTACATTATTGAGGAAATAATGAATGCTTATATATATAAAACTTTGTAAAAAAGTAATGCGAATTTTCTAATAATAAGTAGTTAAATGTTTTCAAAATTAAATTGGATTAAAACCTTTAATACGAAGTTTGTGAATAAAAAAAGATGCACAAATATTAATTTAATTTTCATTTGTTTACGTTTTAAAAGAAAGTTTTAATTATAAATTATTTTAGCTAAATAGTTTAGGAAATATTTAATTCACGTATAGGAATAGTAATGAAAACATAATATATTGAGATTCTTCACCTAATATATTTCCCTAAATAAAAATTATAGTAATTATAAAATCATTTAGATATTTGAAAATTTAGATTAACGATCAAGATTTAATCTACAAATAAACGATTGCGATAAAATATTTCATTATCTTCTTAAATCCGATTAAAGTATCCACCAATATAATTAGATCCGCGTGGAAACCCGATTAAGCATGTATTTTATTTCATTTGATAACTTTGGTGTAAATTTAATGGGTACTACAGTTAATAGTATAGATAAGAAATATGCATATATATATATATATATATGTACCATGTAATTTAGAGGAAAAAACTCTAAAAGGAATATTAACAATTTTATATAAAAATATTTTACATATATGATGATAAGAAGTAGGACTAAATGACATTTGAATGCATACCACGTTTTTTTGTTCATTGAGGAGGATGTTGTTGATCTTCGTAGTTTTCCCAAAGACCTCAAAATCTCAAGCTACTACATCAAAAAAGTAGATCACAATTAGTTGTTTACAAAGAACTAAACACAAAAAGTAAAATATTATGAGTAGACATTGATTAAAAATGAAATGAAAGTATGTGGTGTGAAAATTTGTATTAGTTCATGCTTTGTTTTGTGAGATATATATTTTTTCTCGCTTTGAAATGAATGTAAACTAAGAAAACATGGAATGATTTATATAGGCTGTAAAAATAGGGTAGCTAATAATTTAGAATATTTGGTTTGAGATTTAATTTTGAAAAGAAATAACTTTATTCAATCTCAATCACTAAATTATCGTGATTTTATTGTTAAAATTAAATATTATATTCGAATATTCCATTTTTAGAAAATTTAGAATAACAAATCATGTTATATTTAATAGGCGAATTTAATTAACTTAAATTACTAAATTGTTATAAATTAAGATATAATCCATTGATTTTGCCTACCATAAATTAATGATTCTGATATAAACGGTTTATTATGGATCAAATAAATGAACGATTCATATTTAATCTACAAATTTATAAACGGTTGAGATTAACTCTTTAAACCCGATTAAAAGATCCGTTTGATAATTTAGATCCGCGTGTTAACCCAAGTAGGAATCAAAATTATTTCATTATGAAACTATAGTGTAAATTCATTGTGTACTTCAGCTTTAATAGTATAGATATATG